ATCATATAAAGAACTCAAGGAATACCTTAGACAGATGGAATGGAACCTTAAAGAGGATACAAGACAGCAAATCCAAACAGTGAAAGAACACATAGAAAATGAATTACATAAACAGATAAAAGAAGAAGTTAAGCATCTTTATCAGGAGATAGAGATTATTAAAAAAAAAAACAATAATTCTAGAAATGCAGGAAATGATAAACCAAATTAAAAACTCAATTGAGAGTATCACTAACAGAGTGGAGCAAGTAGAAGCCAGAACGTCAGATAATGAAGACAAAATATATCATCTTGAAAAGAGTCTAGCCAACTCAGAAAGGCTGGTTAAAAATCACGAGAAAAACATCCAAGAGATATGGGATAACATAAAAAAAAACCAAACTTACGAGTCATCAGGATAGAGGAAGGTAAAGAGATTCAAACCAAGGGAATGAGTAACCTGCTGAATGAAATAATTACAGAAAACTTTCCAGAAATAAAAAAGGAAACGGATATACAAATTGTAGATGCATACAGGACACCGAGCACACAAAATCACAGTAGACCAATGCCAAGACACATTGTTATGAAGATATCCAATATACAGAACAAAGAGAAAATATTAAAAGCTACAAGAGAAAGGAGGCAGATTACATTCAGGGGTAAACCAATAAGGTTAACAACGGATTTTTCATCACAGACGCTGAAAGCGAGAAGATCCTGGAACAACGTATTTCAAACACTGAAAGACAATGGATGCCAACCAAGAATTCTGTATCCAGCAAAATTAAGCTTCAGGTACGACAACGAAATAAAAATATTTCATGATAAACAAAAGCTAAAAGAATTTGCAGCCAGAAAACCAGCATTGCAAAGCATCTTGAGCAAAAGACTACACAAGGAAGAAATGAAAAACAATAACCAAAACCATCAGTGGGAAGTGCCTCTGTAAAGACAGAGGGTGGGGGGAAAGCTAATCATGGAGAAACAAACTAAATTAAAAAAAAGAAGAAGATATATAATCAAACATGGATGGAAGTACAAACAATATATCAATAGTAACTCTAAACATTAATGGCTTAAACTCTCCAATAAAGCGACATAGGCTGGTAACATGGATTAAAAAAACAAATCCAACAATATGCTGCCTCCAGGAGACACATCTGATTGGAAAAGACATACACAGGCTGAAGGTGAAAGGTTGGGAAAAAATATACCACGCACACGGTCCTCGTAAGCAAGCAAGGGTGGCCATCCTCATATTGAATAAAATCGACTTCAAGACTAAGTTAATCAAAAGGGATAAGGAAGGACATTATATACTGTTAAAAGGAACCATTCACCAACAAGACATAACAATTATCAATATTTATGCACCAAATAATGGTGCTGCGACGTTCATAAAACAAATTCTCCTCAAGTTCAAGAATCAAATAGACCACAACACAATAATTATGGGTGACTTCAACACACCTCTCTCACCATTGGACAGATCCTCCAAACAAAAGTTGAATAAAGAAACTATAGAACTCAATATCACAATCAATAACCTAGACTTAACTGACATATATAGAATATATCAACCATCATCAAGTGGATATACTTTTTTCTCAGCAGCACATGGATCCTTCTCAAAAATAGACCATATATTATGCCATAGGGCAACCCTCAGTAAATATAAAGGGGTGGAGATAATACCATGCATTTTATCTGATCATAATGGAATGAAACTGGAAATCAATGATAAAAGAAGGAAGGAAAAATCCTACATCACATGGAAAATGAACAATATGTTACTGAATGATCAATGGGTTACAGAAGACATAAAGGAGGAAATCAAAAAATTCTTAGAGATAAATGAAAATGCAGACACAACATATCGGAATCTATGGGACACAATGAAAGCAGTTTTAAGAGGGAAATTCATCACCTGGAGGTCATTCCTCAAAAAAAGGAAAAACCAACAAATAAATGAGCTCACACTTCATCTCAAAGCCCTAGAAAAGGAAGAGCAAAACAACAGCAAATGTAGCAGAAGGCAAGAAATAATTAAAATCAGAGCAGAAATCAATGAAATTGAAACAAAAGAAACTATTGAAAAAATTAACAAAACTAAAAGTTGGTTCTTCGAAAAAATAAATAAGATCGACAGACCCTTAGCCATGCTAAGGAAGAGAAGAAGAGAGAAAACTCAAATTACTAACATACGGGATGAAAAAGGCAATATCACAACAGATGCTATAGAAATACAGAAGACAATTAGAAATTATTTTGAAAACCTATATTCCAATAAAATAGAAGATATTGAAGACATCGACAAATTTCTTAAGTCATATGATTTGCCCATACTGAGTCAGGAGGATACTCACAACTTAAACAGACCAATATCAATGGATGAAATAGAAGAAGCAATCAAAAGACTACCAACCAAGAAAAGCCCAGGACCAGATGGGTATACAGCAGAGTTTTACAAAACCTTTAAAGAAGAATTAATACCAATACTTTTCAAGTTATTTCAGGAAATAGAAAAAGAGGGAGCTCTGCCAAATTCATTCTATGAGGCCAACATCACCCTGATTCCGAAACCAGACAAAGACACCTCAAAGAAAGAAAACTACAGACCAATATCTCTGATGAACCTAGATGCAAAAATCCTCAATAAAATTCTGGCGAATCGGATACAAAGGCACATCAAAAACAATTGTGCACCATGATCAAGTAGGATTCATCCCTGGGATTCAAGGCTGGTTCAATATACGGAAATCAATAAATGTTATTCACCACATCAATAGACTTAAAGATAAGAACCATATGATCATCTCGATAGATGCAGAAAAAGCATTCGACAAAGTACAGCATCCCTTTATGTTCAAAACATTAGAAAAACTAGGGATAACAGGAATTTACCTCGACATTGTAAAAGCTATCTATGCTAAGCCTCAGGCTAGCATCATTCTGAATGGAGAAAAATTGAAGGCATTCCCTCTAAAATCTGGAACAAGACAGGGATGCCCTCTATCACCACTTCTATTCAATATAGTTCTCGAAACACTGGCCAGAGCAATTAGACAGACAAAAGAAATTAAAGGCATAAAAATAGGAAAAGAAGAACTTAAATTATCACTATTTGCGGATGACATGATTCTATACCTAGAAGACCCAAAAGGGTCTACAAAAAAACTACTAGAACTAATAAATGAATTCAGCAAAGTGGCAGGATATAAAATCAACACGCATAAATCAAAGGCATTTCTGTATATCAGTGACAAAAAAATGTTCCTAATTTCACTCTAGAATATTCATTAAAAATAATTTGTGTTTATATCCATTTATTGCATCAAAAATCCTTTGAGACTTGACTTTTGGCATAGTTATATTGATATTTCTCCCTTCATGATTTTTCTGCAAATGTTTCAGTAATTCATATTTTTGCCTGGTTAAATATTTTGTTTTTAAAATTTCACTTTTTTGCATTATCTAAACCTTAAGTTTACATAAAGAATTTGATTTTTTAGTAAATGTCATATAAATATTAAATTAAGAGTTAATTATTTCATATATTAGTTATATTAAATCTAGAACTCTTAAAATGGCAAATTCATTACTTATAATTTATGAATAAAGTACAAAGTAACAATAGTGTTTTTAAATTTTGAAAGTAAATTTTAGAAAATAGCCTAAAAACAGATTTAATACCCTGAACTAATTTTTTTACAAAGCAATTATATATTTTTTTGTTGTTGTTGTTTGTTTGTTTGTTTATTATTACCTGTACCTTGACAGGAAGCTGCAATCAAAACCACTTTTGAAGAACTCTTAAGTTCTGAACACTGAGTTCAGAACAATTTTATAGCTCCAAAATGTAAAGTTACAGGTCTAACTTAAAACTTTTCTTGAGAAAGAATATTTTCCTTTGATTGTTTGCAAGATGTGAGAAACATCCAGGTTATAGTAGCTTTTACTATTGTAAAGGAAGTACTAGCTGAACATACCTGCAAGGACCTCACACTAAAATCTATCAGCTTTTAATTACATAGACTGCTATTTCTTTAAGAGTTATAGGATAGAGAAAAAAGATAATAGACTTTGGCATTATATGGATCTGAGTTTAAATTAGAGGTCTAATTCTGTATTTCAGGCACATTTTTTTTTTCACAATTTACCATCTCTGAACCTAAGAAACAGCAACAAGTGCTGTTGGCCAGTCAGGATGGAGTGGTCATTGCCTATATATAAGCAAGCAATGCAAGTTTCAGAGTCGAAACTGGTAGCATAGGTGCTAATGGCTTGGACCAAAATTTGAATATGATAGTTGAATACATTTTATCCCTAGAAACAAGTGGTTGTAAGGAAGAGGTGGGATTAGTGGTATGTTGGTTAGTTCACCAACAGTCCTAAGGAAGAAGGAAAAATCCAGTTCTTCATACGGAAAAGCCAATTTTGTTCTAATATACAAGCTCCAAATTCTTTTATGGATTCCTTAATAAATTTTCCGCTAACTCTCTGATATTAGAGTGTTATAGAGCTAGGAAAGGACCACGTGTGTGAAACATCAAAAGATTTATCCAGAGAAATTAGATTGAATAGAAAGAGGTTTTAGGATTACATTATCAAATTTTTTCATTTGTATTTTCTTTTAACATATGTAAAACATAAATATATGGACATTTATATAACAAATTAAGACAAAAAGAAGTCATTCCAGAAGTACACAATTCCAAGATAGAAGAAAGTACCGTGTCACTGTGGAATGATTCACGTTGATTTTCAGTGGTATATAAGTTAATGATACATTTACAATTAGTATCTCTTAGATTGGATGAAAGAGTATTTTCTTTGTAACCTTGGTCAAACCTTTTCTTCATCCTGTATAATCTTCAGCATTCTTTTCATAGTATTTATGTGAAAATTACCAACCCTGTATCTGAAAAAGAAAAAAAAGAAAAGATCTGTCCTGTACTATACATTTGGGCTTTGATGTATCTTTATTGCTATCATTTTTTAAAAAGCCACATTTCCATGTTCACTTCAGATGCATATATACTAGAACTGGAACCATGTGGAGAAGTTTAGCATGTTCCCTGCATTAAAGATGACATGCAAATTTAGTAAGTGTACCATATTTTTATAGAGAAGAATGAAATGGCATTTGCTGGCAAATGGATGGGACCAGAGAACATCATGCCGAGTGAAATAAGCCATACTCAAAGTCAAGGGTAAATGCTTTCTCTCATACGTGGAAGCTACAGCAAAACAAGGGAAAAAATAGGGAGGGACACCAGGAAAATAAAGAGAAATCAATGGAGTAGAGAAGGACGATGGAGGGGCAAGGAATGGGAAAAGGGAAGAACTGTGGAATGGAGTTGACTAAATTAGGCTATGTACATATATGAATATACCACAGTGAATTCTGCTTTTACATATACCTATAAAGCAACTATTTTAAAATAATGAATAAATAGAAGAAAAAACACAGTAGAATAAAGGAAGGGGTCCAGGGGGAGTAAAAGAGGGAATACTGGAGCCTAAAATGCAGCAAATTATATTCCATGCAGGTATGATTCTGTCAAAATGAACACCACTATTAAGCCGGGTATGGTGGTACATGCCTGTAATCCCAGCAGCTGGGGAGGCTGAGGCAGGAGCATTACAAGTTCAAAGTCACCCTCAGCAACTGTGAGGCACTAAGCAGGGAGACCCTGTCGCTAAATAAAAAAAACAAAATAGGCTGGAGATATGACTCAGGGATAGGGTGCCCTTGAGTTCAATCCCTAGTACCTCCCCCCCAAAAAATTAACAACACAATTGTATATAACTATAAAGCACTAAAAAAAAATATCTTTAGGATTTACAAAAAAGTGCCACCTTTGGACCTTAAAAAAATTACCTGATATCATAAAACAACAAAAAATATACTATTTGAGTCTTTTCATTCACACAATGATATGTATTTCATAACACACTCACACGCATGAATGCACACACGCATTGCTTAATTACTTCTGGATACTTCTCTATATTAAAAACCATGGCAGACAAACTCTAAAGTGATTCCCAAATTTCCCACCTCCTGCTATATGTGTCTCTTGTAATTCCATTCCCTGGAGAAAGGCAGGACCTGTGACCTTCTTACAACTATTAGAACAAGGAAAACATTATGGGATGGTAATTCCAAGGTTGCACCACACAGGCTCGTAATATCTGTGTGGTCTGCAGGTTCTGTTGGGTCACTGCCTCACTGATTTTGATGTAAAAAAAAACTGGAACGTAGAGAGTCTGATGTGATGGCCGGGACAAACTGCCGCCTGTGGCTTATGGCCACAGAGGGTCTGAGGCCTGCCATTCAATAGTTTCCAAGGACCTAAATATTTTCAACAACCATGTGAGTGTGGAAGCAGATCCTTCTCCAGTTGAGCCTCAGATTAGACCACAGCCCTGGCCAACACTTTGTTCACACCTCTGAGAACCTGAAGCCTAGGACCCAGCTAACCTGTGCCCAGATTCTTGAGCTCACAAACTGTGATACAATATATGTTTGTTTTTTCAAGCAATTAAGTTTTTCATAACTTATTAAAGAATAATAGACATTTAATACAAAGCACTGTATTCATTGTATTAAAATAGAATTGTTATAGAGTTCATGAATTCCTCTATCCAGAAACAAGAAATTTCCACTACTAAAATAGTGCACACTGACATATCACATATAGAGAGTAGATATTTAAAATTCAGTTTCCTTAAAATTGCAGTTTATGTGTATCCAATAATTTAAATTTTCCAATCTCTCTTTAAATTGTAAGTATTGGTCATCCCATATGGTTGAAAACTAAGAGCACTATTAAAAATTATATATAAGTAGTCACTTCTTGATGGATAAGCTATAAATTTGCTTTCAAGGTTTTAAAAATATTAAGGTAGCATTTTTATCTGTTCTTTAAAAATAATACAATTTTTATTTAAATTGTTACTTATTTTCATGTATTTGGTAAATAATTTGATTAAAAGCTATTGTTTTTTTACAGATGAATTTCACATTTGGCTTAATCTCAAGCTTTTTTTAACCACAAATTTCACATTTGTGTGGTAATATTAGACAATCATAATTCAATGGCGAATCATAATTCTAGAAAAATGTTTCTATTATTGATGACAAATACATTATTATCACAGAACAACATCCATTAAAGGTGATAACTGGCAATATTACAACACTAAAGATGAAAATACCCTTGAATACCCAATTGAAATTTCTTCTTCAGAAATTATTAACAAAATTGAGGAAGATAACAGGTAGACAGAATTTCTAATTACATTTTCCTTCTTTGCTAGCTGATTTAGCAAACGAAAGAATAGTGAAGCATATTATGACTCAATAATGAGTAATCTATTACTGTCCTTAGTAATCTCTGGATGAGCCTTTCATTTGAAGCATGCATGAGTCCCTGGGAAATATCCTGGAGATTCTCAGAATTATTTGAAGTCTAAAAGTTAAATGGTCAAGTTTCTACTTAGTATAGATGTAAGCCAAAGTCAGTAAAATTGAGACTCATATTAAATATTATATCATTTTTATTCAGTAGTTGGCAAAAATGACATTTAAGTTCTGTCTTTATCAAGGGATTCTGAATTGTCAAATTTTATACAGTTTAAAAATCACAGGGAGTTGCAGCACAGTCTGCTGTAAAGCAGTGCCTGTCACCCCTTGCCCCCAATTCTCTCATGTAAACATGAGTCTATGCTGCATTGTGCCAGCTGGCAGAGAATATGAAGGTAACCCAGGTGGCCGTTGATAGGTTTCAGGTTGGAAAAGAGATCATGTTGCCTTGGTGAGAAAGGCATGAAAGAAAATAAATACTAACAAATTTTTTATCCTAACATATTCATACCATCCTTTCATTTTCTTTTTAAAATTGTTGTTCAGAGTTTCATATATAAGAAACAAGTACATAATAGAAAAAAAATGGAAAAATAGAGAAAGGAACAAAGAAGCACAATCAGCACATAATGTATTTTCCAATCCTTTTTTTATATGCTTACTACTCTTGTTAAAGATAGAAGGGTGAATTTTATATATTCTTTTCCACATAATCATTACATCAAAGAACTTTTCATGTTGCCATCTTCATAACCATTAATTTAATAATGCAAAACAACTCATCAAAATCATATCCCACAATTGATTTACATTTGTCTGTCTTTTTAACTTGCAAGTGGCATTATGATAATATTTATACAAGATTTTGATGATTTTAGTTGAAAATAAACTTGCACTGCATGATAAATAAAAATACCAGACTATAATTTTATTTGACTCTAATGAGATTCTTACTAAGATTGAGTTTGCCCCTTGTGTGTAGGAAAGGACAGTAGCTTTTTTTTTTTTTAAGAGAGAGACAGAGAGAAGAGAGAGAATATTTTAATATTTATTTTTCAGTTTTCAATGGACACAACATCTTTATTTTATTTTTATGTGGTGCTGAGGATCAAACCCAGCGCCCCACACATGCCAGGTGAGTGTGTTACCGCTTGAGCCACATCCCCAGCCTACAGTGGCTTCTTTATTATTACCAAACTGTGAAGATTCCTTAGTTTCAGTTTTTACCAATTAAATGGACACATTTTCACTTCAAACAGGTTTTTTTTTGTAATTAAGTAGTTAACTTATGTGCAGAACCCAATACCTAGAAGCTCATTCATCTCCTTAGTTTTCTTTTCTCTTCTCCCTTAGAATTTCTTCTTTCTGGGAATTGACTAATGACAAGGAATTGTTTTACATTTTTATTTTTGTGAAGTTTTAACATATAAAAATTATATTCATTATATGACATAATTGTGGCAATTGCCTTTTAGAATTAAACTTTTATGTGTCTAAATGCAAACTGTTTAAAACATGTTTGATTTTTTATAAATTTAAATGGTAGAAAATATTCCTTAAAATTTTTGAAGTTAATTTTCTTACTATTTTTCCAAAGATGTTTTAACATATAAAAAATAAAATTTAAATACCTTTATAATTATAAGGTGAGATTTCAAATTGCTCTAAATATTTTTTTCTTGTTTCTTGTTTTATTATTTTCAAGTGTGCCAAGCAAGAATCCCAATGAATTTATTTAATTAGGGTTCTCTTCATTGAGTTATGATTCTTTCTTTTGAATGTTTCAGGGGCTTTTATTCATCCAAATCTTTTATTTGCATCAGAAGCAACTTCCTTTATCATAGCCTTGCCAAAAGCCTGGTCTTACCTCACCAAACTGAGAAGAACTTCAGTGGTTTCTGTTACAGGTTTTATCTGCTATTGATCATCTTAAATATATTAGGCTATATGTAAAGCCAGATATATTCATTAAGATTTACCTAAACTCATAATAAGGATGGCCTAGTTGTCACTTAGGAATTTTATGTGATTAGGAAGTCTTTCTCAGTGATTGTGGTGACAGTTTTCACACTACCAAACCTAAGGCTGGGTCAAGGTGATCTCATGTAACAATGAACTAACATTTACTGAGAATTTATTATGGGGAGACCAAGTATTAGTCTAGTGCTTCACGTGTATTTTTTTCCCACAAAACTGTCTTTAAATTACCCCTTGCTATGGTTTATTGTATCTTCTAAGTTGTGTTTTGGAAACTTAATCCCCAATACAACCAAGAGTTTTGGAAAGTGTGACCTTCAGGAGGTGATGAGTTCACGAGGGCAGAGGCATCACTGCTAGAGTGGCATCATCATCATGATAGCCAAGCCCTTGTATACTCTCACCCATTTGATGACCTATAATTATACTCAAAAAAGCCAAAGGACACCCTGGACAAAGAGCTACAGATCATCAGGAGAGGGATATCTCAAAAGATAGATAATCCAAATAAAAGGAAATTATGAAAAGGAATCAAATAGAAATTTGAAAATGAAAAATTCAGTCAAAAAATGTGTCATTAAGTGATTTCATTACTGGACAAAAATCATAGAAGGTACTTAAACAAATTAAGATAGCTTTGATGTCAAAACAAATTAAGATAGCTTCGATGTCACTCAGTGACATAATCTCAGGGGCCCACCATTATATATGTCATCCTTCATTGTCCAAGACCTCATTATGTAGTACATGACTGCAAAAATTTGAAATGTCCTAT